CTTTCCCTCCTTCTTCCCTTCTCTCTCTTTCTTTTAGGGTTGCCAAGTCTGGGTTGGAAAAGACCTGGAGACTTTGGGGGTGGAGCCAGGAGAGGGTGTGGTTTGGGGAGGGGAGGGGCCTCCACATAGTACAATGCCATAGAGTCCACCCTTCAAAGCAGCCATTTTCTCCAGGGGAGCTGATCTCTGTCGGCTGGGGATCAGTGGTAGAAGCGGGAGATCCCCAGGCCCCACCTGGAGGCTGGCAGCCCTACTTTCTTTCCCTTTTTCTTTCCTTCTCTTTCTTTCCCTCTTTTCTTCTCTCTTCTATCCCCTCTTTCCTTCCCTCTTTCCTTCCTTCTTTCCTTCTCTCTACTCTCTCTCTTTCCTTCCCTCTTTCCTCCTTCTGTGGCCCAACTCAAGTGAGAAGGGGTTTAAACTTTAAACCCCTTCTCTCTTTGCTCCCCCCCACGCAGGCCAGCTGGGGAAGGGAAGGGGAGGCTTTTGAAGATGCCTTCCTCCCCTTTTGCTTCCCCTTCTGACATCACTTCCGGTGATGTCAGGGTGTGTGGCATATGCTAATAGCCTAGTAACTCATTAGCATACCATATGCTAATGAGCTTCTGCAGCTCTTTTTCTATGAAAAGACCCCTGTCCAGGAGTATCCCAACCTGGATCTGGCCACTGTACCCCCCATCCCTCGCTGGTGACCAGGGGTGACCTGGCAACCTTATCTAAAGGGCTTCTAAGAACAGAGGCCTTGTATAGCAAATGTACTGCATCGGACCTCTGAAGGCCAAACTAGATATAGGTAATATATGGTAATAAATAGCAGCAGGCCCATCTTTGAAAATGAAGATCTGCCCTGTTTACATATTAGGTGGAGGCCAAAGGTAAAGAGCAAAAAGGGCCTGGTGGAGATTCTGAATACTCTTTCCTCCTTTCTTGTTTATCTCACATTGCTGGTCATTTTTCTCTCATGAGCTAACTTTCTGGTACTGGGATCAGACTTAAAGGGGAGAAAAGGGAGATAGCAGGAAAATAAGAAGGAAAATATTGACAATGTCATTACATTCTTAAGTGAAATGTCTCTGGAAAGCACAGGGACTTTTTCTATTGTGACAGGATGCTCCTGTCACAACAATGAGAAGAGATTTCCTGGTCCAGACTCATCATCTCCCAAACATTGTCTGTGGGCAAATGATCAGGACAGTAGCGACTTAAGACCTTACTGTTCCTATCAGACTTAGATACGGTATATACTAGACTACTGCCCTATTCAAAACCTGTGTGCCTATGTGTCCTCAAATGTCACATGTAGTTATTATTTCCATTGGTTGTCAAATGTCCCTAAAATTCTCAAGTTCCCTAGATAACAGGCATTCCTATGAATACCTTTGCAAGGAGCAATGATTCTGCACAAAGTGATTTGCCTCCCTTTGCTATGAGAATATGTCAGATTAGCAGTGAGAGTGCCCACTGCTATACCTGATTATTTGACCACGGTGGTCAAGAAGCACTTTCCCATGCAAGCATTCCAAATAGCAGGCGTAATATTTTAAAGTTTCTTGGTCCACATCAAGTGGCCCATTTCTAGGAATTGATCTTTTTCCCAGACCACAACAATGCTGACATACAAATGCCAGTGCACAGGATAAGAGTCTTTTAAATGCCAGTTAGCGAAACAGGTAATTGCTCATTGCTAACCTAAACATTCCAGATGTCAGATTTCAATCAGTCTCTAATAAAGAATGTACCAATTTTTAAATATTATCGCATAGCATTACACAAATGTTTAGCTAAATAGAGACACCACAATATTTCCAACCAATAAAATGACACATGATCCTAATGCATACATTAGTTCATGTGTTTGAATGAAGGTGGCCCACACGTCTAATTTTAAGGACAATTCTATTCTTTAAACACTGGATTGCAAAGACCTGTTTTTTGCTTTAGTTCATGAGGGCAGTCCCAAATGAGAGTAAATCCAAAGAGGAACATGGCTCTTCCCTGGTTTTATTACCTATAAAAGGCCACGAACCAAACCCTTGTTTTGACATAAGGAATATCCATTAGCCTGCTTTGCTGCTCCTGAGAAACAGAGAAGCAGAAAACACCATAGAACAGAATATGCTTCTTTTTACAATTGAAGTTTAGAGAAAAGGTTCTTGAAAAGATGGGCCATTACTGCAAGGGAAGGAGATAGCCTTGCTGTGGTTGCAGTATTTTCTTGCAACAGATAAATGACTGATTACAGGTCAGAGCAGTTTAATACCTCAACATTGTACTCTAAATACTCAGCATTTATGGTATTGCTTCTACCGTAACAATCCAGTCTTTAAATTAATTTTTTTGAACAGAGAATCGAACATTTAAAAAGTCACAGAAAGAGTGCAGGCAGGACCGAGTTATATTTCTCTGCCCTAATGACACCACATGTACTATTCAAACTAGCAGACCTTGTGCAATTCTACATTCCAGTTCAGTTCTCAGAATATCGATGGGCAGGGGTGTGTGGTGGCTGAGCTTCCAGCTGGCTGCATCCCTCCCACGCTCCTGCCATTCCCTCTGAAAATATCAAAATTGCTCTCAAAGAACAAAACCAACTAAGAAACAAACTTTATTGTCGGCTGTGGGAAGGACTCGGGGGAAGAAGGGAGCAAAAAATTCCCCCTACAGACCCCCAAAGAAAATGAATATAGACTTTGAAGACTCAGAAGAAGACCAAGAGATATATCTGCCAGAGGAAATGGCAACAGGAGGAAGCAACTCCGACCCAGGTTATCAGTCTATGATTCTGCATGCCTTGACAAAATTAAAAGACGAAATTAAAAATGAGATAAAGGCTCTGAGTGGGGATGTTGGGCAATTAAAACAAGAATTTGCCCTGCTTAAATGAACAATTGAGCCTATGAGAGAGCCAGTTTGGTGTAGTGGTTAAGTGTGCGGACTCTAATCTGGGAGAACCAGGTTTGGTTCCCCACTCCTCCACTTGCACCTGCTGATGTGACCTTGGGTCAGCCACAAGCTCTGGCACAGCTGTTCCTGAATGAGCAGTTTGTGTCAGAGTTCTCTCAGCCCCACCCACCTCACAGGGTGTCTGTTGTGGGGAGAGTAAGGGAAAGGAGTTTGTAAGCGGCTCCGAGACTCCAAGTGAAGGGTGGGGTATAAATTCAATCTCTTCTTCTTCTAAATAAAAAAAACTTGATGAACTCACCACAACATTGCAGATTACAGAGAGGAAAGCTGAAGCAGCATTCTAGAGTGCGAAGAAAGCAGCAAGCAAATTGAAAGAGGTAAAAGACTTTGAAGCATGGGCAAAAAATAAAATTATGCTCCAAGAAATTAAATTGAGAGAAAAGAAGGCCAAACTTCGTGGGGTCTCTTTAAACTTTTCTGAAACAGAAGACTTTATTGCACCTTTAAATAAATGGCTGCAACAGATACTTCAATCAGCAGGGGAAACAGAGATCTCCGAAAGAATCATCACATCTGCCTTCCGTTTGAAGTCTCCAAAAAAGCCCCTCCAGATGTCACTCCAGATATTTTAATCGAGTTCACAGAGGTACAGACCAAAAACAAACTCTTTAAAATTGCGAGGGAAAAAGAGGGTCTGTGCCTTGAAGACACGATTGTTTCTTTGTTTGCTGACGTCCCAGCTGAGATTCTTATCACAAGAATGAAGCTGCAAAACACAGCCAAGGCTCTCAGAGAACATAGAATTCAATACAGATGGCTTGCATTAGGCCACTTAGTGGTCAACTTAAACGGCAAAACTTTCATAGCTTATGATGAGAGCACTGGAAAGAAGCTACTAGAGGAGCTGACTAAGCAACCAGATGGAGACTGTTTTGGCAAATAGTTTAATAGTCCATGTTGAGAGCAATTAAATAAATAAGTAGGGTGTTTAGAATTATATTATAAGCGGTAAATATTTAGTGAAAGTACATAAAGTAATATATAAGCAGTAGTGTTATAGTCAGAGAGCATGGCAAGGAGGTGGAGGGTGTGCTCCCCCCCAAGACCTCTGGTAACAGGGAGGAGGGTTATCCTCCTACTGAAGGGGTTTCCTCTTCAGCCCCCAGTATCAGAGGCAACCCCATCCAGCTTTCTTTTTTAGGTATAGAAGTAGATAGAATAACAATAAAGACTGAATGAACAAAAAAGAAGTTAGAAGAATGAGTAATAATCTATTGGAAGATTCAAAAAACGTATTAAGAGATAAATCATGATTTAGAGGAAGTTGTATGGTGGTTTTATAGGATAAGGGAATAGGAAAAGAACAAGTTACAAACTGGATTGGGATTAAGTTTAATTTGTTAGTTATATAGTTTGGAATGTAACCTCATTTTTGCTTTTTTTTCTTGTGTAATGCATGAAAAGGAGTATAGTATTTTTATTTATTTTATTTTATTTATATTTGCATTTATATCCCGCCCTATCCCGAAGGCTCAGGGCGGCTAACAGGGGCACAAAGTGTATAAGGATATGAATCATTTTTATGAAATATGAATCATATAAATAATATATATAAAAGAATATCGATGGGCATACTAGATGGGAGGAGGAATGTGGCATTTTCTCAGTGATCAAATGCTGAAGTTTGTGGGATTAAATTTTTATAAAGTGTAATATTTGTACAATGGCAACATGGCCTAGAGAAAAGTCTTCTGGATTGTATTCAATATCAATAACAACACTGGTTTATTGCACAAAGAAATTATTGTGTGGAAGGGTCCTTATATCAGGCCAGGAAATAATTTCCTTGTTTTAGATTGATGCTCAGAACAGAAACATAAATTTGAATACTATGTTTTACTTGATTAGATTTCAAATATCTCCAGATAAAGTATTTTTTGGTGTGTTCTGAGCATAAGTGAAAGCATCAGTTCAATAATGCTTACCGCACAGCAGCCCCTCTTCTCTAATCAATCTGCGAGCCATAAGAAAAGATTCAGTGTCATTACTCTTGCACCACTGATCTATCACCTACAACAGAAACAAAAAATATAGACTTTAGGGGTTCAGGGGCACTCAAATGAGTCACCTCTACTCAATATAACAGGCTGGAGACAGATAATAAATTTTTCAAACAGTTGAAATGAGTCACTTCTGAATCTTTCCTCCATTTGGCCTATTCTGATTAGGATTTGAATTCTACCAGTCAATGAGCCTTATCTGCATAGAATTACAGTCTTATGTTTCCACTCTAATCTTCATTTGTATGGCTGGTGAATGCTGAGAATCAGCATTCCCAGAAGTTTTAAGTTTGTCTCATGTAGATCCAGAGACTGATCATTCCTTATTTCAAATAAAAAAGAATCCTGAAAGTCTGCACTCAGAGTCAGCTAGCAATTCTGTGTCCCCTGACTTTTGTCACTTTGCCACTTACAGATCTGTCTAGGACAGTTGGGATGAAGTCGTGTCCGATCCCTTCCACTTCCATTGTTGCATCCTCTGCTGTGTTGAGTGAGCTGGGTAGAGCAACTACGGAGCCTTCAGGATCTACGCCAACAATCTGCAAAGGAAGATAAATTTGTCAATTAGATTCTTAAAATTAGAATTGATAGACAATTAATTAAAAACAAATATTGATCTTTGTTCTATCCAGTGGCTGAACTGGGCTGAGAAGTGTCTCACATACTTTGCAATCGGGACATTTCTCCTTCATCTTCCTGGCAATACCACTGATGGTGCCTCCAGTGCCAGCTCCAGCCACAATCATATCAACTTTGCCTGCAGTTAAGAAAAAGAAAAAATTAGCAAAGATCACACCATGCACCTTCTCTAAAGCTCCAAAAGGAAACACTTGTATACATTGGTAGAAAATGTAATTCCTGATTTATTGATCTGGACAACAGTAGCCATGGTGTTGCATAATCACTACAATCACTAAGAAGGATATTAAACACATTATATTGAAAAAATAATTTGAAATGATACCATCACATTGTTCCAGAATCTCTTCTGCTGTAGTGTCATAGTGCGCCAGTGGGTTACTTGGGTTTCGGTACTATTGTTGTAAAGAAACAGAGAAAAGGGTATATCACTGATAAATGAGAGGGAGTCAAATGTAGCTTCATAAAGAGCCAACAAATAACGCAAGCATCTCATGAAAACATAAGGAATATCTTACTAGGTCAAACCAATGGTAACATCTGATTTAGAACTTGTGCATCTAACAGTGGCCAGCCAGATGTCCCTAAGAAGCCAACAAGCAGTGTACATTTGAAGTTAACCATTCTTTTTGTTAGTCCCTAGTATTAAGTTATAAGAGGTACACTGCCTCTGAACACAGAGGATCATTCTTCTCTATCACAGCTTCCTTTCTTTAGAGTGATTCATTTCAAGCAAAATATATGGATGTACCCACAGGTGTCAACTATGGGGGGGCCTCGGGGGCTGCCGCCTTCCCCGAAATTTTCCATGGGCGACTGAGTCCCCCGGACAACCAGTGCAGGTAGGTTTTAAAGTATGGGCAGGGCAGCCATTTCAGGGCACCGTTTCATTCTCCTCTGCCTGAGAACAGGAGAGAGCAAAGGGAAGGCTTGCAGTGGCTGCCTGCCCTTTAAAGTGAGCAGCCCGACTGCCAGCAGCTCCGCTTGCCAGCTGCTTACTTTAAAGCGCGGCCAGCCAGTTCAAGGGCTCCCTTTCGCTCCTCCCTGCCTAAGAGAGAAAGGGAGTGAAAGGGAGGTTTCTAATAGCTGCCTGTCTTTCTGCCTGCCTTCCTATCATTTTTCTGTCTGTCTTTCTGTCTTCCTTCTTTTTTTCCCTTTCTTTCACTCCTCTCTCCCCATATTTTTTCTCCCTTTCTCTCTTTCACTCCTCTCTCCCCATATTTTTTCTACCTCTTTCTTTCTTTCCTTTCTCCCTTTCTCCCTTTCTCTCTGTCTCTCTTTCTCTCTGTGTCTAAGTCCCTTATTGTTTCTGTCTCTCTTTGTCTTTCTATTTCTCTTTTTCTGTGTTTCTCTCTCAGTCCATTTTTTTTTTCCTTTGGTGCATAAAGTCCCAGGCTTTTCTAGTAAGCTTTCAACTGGATGGGAGTTTTGTTATTGATTTCAGTAGGTCAAGAATTCCCTCCCCCCTTTTTGTGCAAATCTTGCACTTATTAACGGCTCAACTGCTAGTGTTAGGCAGTTTTAATCAGTGTTAATCAGTTTGGGAAGAGCATCAGTCACAAGCCTCTGCCTGCCTTAATGCAGCTCTTCCAGGGCCAGCAGTCCAAATAGGGTTGCCAACTCTAGCTTGAGGAATGCCTGGAGATCCGTCTCCACCCCCAAATCTCCAGGAGTTTCCCAACCTGGATCTGGCAACACTACCCCCCATGCCCTGCTGGTGGGCAGGGGAGACTTGGCAACCCTAGGATATAGTCTGCAGGGGACAGGGTTTGGGGACCTTCATGAGGAATAATTCTATACAGTCCACTTCCTCCTGGAAATAGTGCTCTGGGACCTGTACTCACTTGTAGGATATGAGTTTGAAGTGAGAAGATTGCTGCTACTCTGAACTCTGTACATGGCTCAGAAATTGAGTGCACAGCAACTGTCTGGTATTCTGGCTCAGAGACTCCAGCCCTGCATTTACCAAATGAAGGCATCTGTGATGCCATAATTTAGTAAATTTCAGTATGAAGTCACCCTTATGAATAAGGCAGAAACAAGACTCCTGTAAAAGAATGTTCAGGAAAACTTTTTAAATGTTCCCCTACAGGCTTTTCTGTGTTGCCCTCCTTACTTTCAGATTTGTGACCATTTGTTTGTCTTATGCAGATCTTAAAATAACTATTCTAAAAGTGAAATTAAATAAAGGACACAGCAGGAGACCACTTAGATATCACTATAACCACTGGCCAACTCCCACCTTTTACTGAGTTTATCCCAGCCCAGAGGCATGGCTAGGGGGGATTTCCAGGCCCCCCCCAAATTTCTGGGGAGCCCCTTCCTAAATCCCACATGTCTCTGCTTCCATAGATAGTGACAATGGCCTGTGATGTCACTGGCTCCTTCCTATGATGTCATTGGGCCTTGGTTCTTTTAAGGACCTAGCATAGCAATGCCTCTGGCTCAGCCCCAGCCCCCCCCCCAATTGGAAAGTCTACGCCCTTGGATGCACCATCATTACCTATTGTATGTATAGCAAGTGAATATCTCACAATGAACTATGTGAAGATCAAAGCAACAACTCTGTAGGGTCTTAATGTACCCTCAGAACTCCATGCTCACTGAAATGTGAGGGACGGCTTTGCACATTCAGTGAGGCTGTGAAGACAGTACTACTACTCCTGATGTTCAAGTGAAGAAGGAAGCCCTTGTACACATGAGAGTTCTATGACTGCTGTCATGCCTGAAAGGTGTTTATGAACTACTGCAGTTGAAACCAGAGCTGTCATTCACAAATGTCTTGAAGGCACAATATTAATAAAATAATATCCCTAGTTTAAAACAAATAGTTTTACTCCTATCAGCAAGTTCAGCAACATCGGAATGTATTAAGAGGACATTGTGTGTGTCAATAATCATAGTAAATTCACTTTTTTCCCTGCAACTAAATTCTTCAAACAAGAAAACACCAGGTACAAGTACCAATAAGCTAGGATATTGAAAAGTCATATAATATTTAGGTGAAAGGCATTTTCAGTTTGGTGAGAGCCAGTTTGGTGTAATGGTTAAGTGTGAGGACTCTAATCTGGGAGAACTGGGTTTGATTCCCCACTCCTCCACTTGCACCTGCTGATGTGACCTTGGGTCAGTCACAAGCTCTGGCACAGCTGTCCTTGAAAAAAAGCAGTTTCTGTCAGAGTTCTCTCAGCCCCACCCACCTCACAGGGGGTCTGTTGTGGGGAGGGGAAGGGAAAGGAGTTTGTAAGCCGCTCTGAGACTCCAAGTGAAGGGCGGGGTATAAATCCAATCTCTTCTTCTTCTTCTTTGCATCATGGTGGACATAAAATGTATTTCAAATATAAGGTTAGCACAGATAAACAGATTAAAGGTTTTAAAAAACTACCACTTAAACACATACATTATAACAAGGAATGCATGCAACAAATAAATTTACCTGGTCCAAAACATGTGAGTTTGGGATTTCGTTTTTCAGTTTCCAAGCAACACGGACATTTGATTCAGGAGCATCAAATCTGGTACATGGGGTTCTTACAATTTCAGCCCCGAGTGCTCTCAGGATATCCACCTGTACAAAGGAAACAGCCTCTTTGATTAATTTTTTGCATTGATCCAATTCCAGCCATAACACAAAAATCCAAAACAAAAAACAAACCCTAAATTTTAAATTATGAGATGAAGGAGCTGAGATCTTGCAAAGCTACACTGTGAGATCTTGGCCACCATTTTAGGAATGGGGAGCTGCTGCCCAAGCCAGGTACCTAGCATCAGCATGGGAAATTAAATATAGTAACATTTGTTTGCCTGCCAGAAAAAGTGAGAACTGCCATTCCTCTGTGATGCTTCATGGGCCACTCAGGTGGAGACAGGGGTGCTGCAGGTGGGCAGGCTAGCTGGCAAGTGGGCAGCCCAGTGAGGGAAAGGATGGGATCCCCCCATGAGTCTCACAGCCCCCCCTTTTAAATACATAATTTACATAATTATGAATTCAACAATATTACATTTCTGGCCAATCCAACAGACATTATATTAAATTAAAAACATATGCTCATAAACATTACTAATATATCTGCATACTTATCTGCCACATGCGAGAGTGTACTTAACTTGGTCTAGTCCCACTGGGGATAACTGCCCAGACCCAGAATCCTACATGCATTCTAATGTACATATATGGAGCACTTGGAAACATGAGCTATCCCATCTTAAATCCCAACAATCGCTGCACCTGCTTTCCTTCTAGGGATGTCAGTGATCAAAATATTATCATATAAACATTAACAAACTAACAATCCATCAAGCTCACATCCATATTCTCACATTTGTTAAAAAAAAATAATGTGTTAACATGCTCTGGTATTAGTCAGTAAAGCCAAAACTGGAAACACAGGTTCCACAGGCATGACATGGAATGAGTATATAATCCTTTGCCAGTTTTCCAATCCTTAAGAAACACATGAACATGTGAAACTGCCTTATACTGAATCAGACCCTTGGTCCATCAAAGTCAGTATTGTCTACTCAGACCAGCAGTGGTTTTTTTTTTGGGGGGGGGGGGTCAGGTAGAGGCCTTTTATACCATCTATACCATCTACTGCTAAATCCTTTTTAACTGGAGATGCCAGGGACTGATCCAAGGACCTTCTGCATTCTAAGCAGGTACTTTACCACTAAGCCACAGCCTTTCCCCGAAATGTTTAAACATTTATAGCACTATGTAACTAGTAAATGAATCCTTATCATTTAAATTTTTAATGTTTTACATCCCTGTTTCCCACTAACGTCAGTACTGGGGATAGTTCTTTGTATACAATGGGGATGTGTACATGACTTTCCCATAACATGGAAGTTAATAGCTTGCACATACATTGGAGAGCTCATGTGCATTTGACATTGTACATGTTGTTCAACATGTACCATTATCTTTAATAATACTAATAGTGGAAGTCTTTTCCTGTGGTGCTCCAGGGAAGAATGAAATGAAACAAATTTAAAGACCAATATTGCCATGGCTGCATTTCAAGCACTTCCACTTCTCTTCCAGTGCTGAAAATGGCATCATCTCAGCGAAACTACTTGACTCCCCTGCTACATCAGCTGCTAAACTGGCAGCAGTTAATCAGTCACTCAACATATCTTTTGGTATTTTCAATGTCTCAGTATTCGTAAGCTCTTATCTTTTGTAGAAATGTAATGTAATGAAGTATGGATGGTATAACACTGTTAGGGGGGCAGCAATCAACAGATAACTCCCAGCAGCCTAACTAAGTAGAATTCCCAGAGTGAAGAAATAGGGCTGAAACCATGATAGCTCAGTTAGTACAAAGCAGATCAGTGCCATCGCTGTGCCCTCTCTGTTAAATTGAACAACACTCTCACCTTCTCCATGCTCATTTTCTCTGGCATGACAATGATGCAGCGGTAGCCCTTTACTGCAGCTGACAAGGCCAGCCCAATTCCTAGTGATTAATATGTGAGAGAGAAACAAAACAAAACAAAAAGGAATTACTAAACCATAGAAAGAGAAGCAGACATGTGGATGTTCTCGGTCTTCTACTTCTAAAGGGATCAGCCTGTAAATCACCACTTAAAATCAACTGTCATCTCTTAGGTTTCTCACTAAGGCTCTTTGATTTGTATGACCAATAATAAAAGAGCTTAGCGAGAAGCATGCTAGCATTAAAAAATGTCAGCATGGTAAAACCAAATGTTGCATTAGTATTGCACAAGAATATGCAAATCCAAGCAACTAGGGTTCTGTATGAGGATGCTCTTTTTATAGTTATGTGCAGAAAAATCTGAAACATATCAGAATGCAAACAGTTCCATTACCTTCCCACACTTATGTCCCCTTCCATGGATGGGGCACAGGTCTATTGTGCTAGATCTTATAATGATAGGACATCAGATAAGCACTGGCAGAGAGAAGGAGGATGCGGCCAAAGTAGGATGTTGTGCTATTAGCTCTCATTGGCTGATTTCATGCCCTGCCTATTTATTAGCAGAATTCAGAGCACACAAACAATAAGAAAACTGTAAGCTGAAGACATGGTTAGAGCCTATAATCTGTTCCCCGGTGTTCATAGAACAGCACTCCCATGGTTCTGTGGCCTGAACTAGATCCCTTGAGAGTCATAAAAGAATAGTTTATTTTTACTGCAAGGGACATTTGCAGAGACTGGATAATAATATACAACTATTTCTTACAAGCAAAGGAGAGACAAAAAGGAATAGGTGTTTCCTGCAGCAAATTGCACCTAATTGTGTCGGACAAATTCACAGAGATGTTAAACTCATCTGATCACAAGTTGGTTACGTGTATCTGTGCTCTGTTTTTTTTTTAGGGGGGAATGAGTGACAGAGCCACTTGTTCCTCAGTGAGCTAGGGAGGGGTAAATGATATTTCAGCATTACATGTCAGCATAGGAGGAGAACAAAGAAAATTTAGAGTTCCTTACTTGGGGGGGGGAGAACACCTCTGTAAGAACCTCACGTGGCTTAACAATTAAATTTCATCATATGTCTTGTGTTGTGCAATATCCAAAGACTGCAGAAATCTTCAGGCCAGAGGAGATTTCCCATCATGCTCAAAATCATTTTTTTCTCCACCCTCTTGTTTTGCTGAACATCTAGTATGGTGTCTTGAGACCTTGCTTGCTACTTTGGGCCTTTCTGCATTCAGTCTTTACTTCTGATTTTCCCAGAACTTGAGGTGGTATGCCTTTGATTCAAATAATTTCCTTTCATTCTGCATATATAATTATTCTTCAGCACTTTGTGCCAGAAACTCAAGTCTCTGCGGATTATGCTTTCTGCTCTTATTCTTTGGAGAAGGAGTAGCTAAGGCTCCGACATGATACTTCTTTTTTAAATTGTTATTATTTTTATTATTATTAGTTTTAGTTTTTTCAGCATGATACTTCTCCCTTCCCTTCAATGCCCCATGTTCTCTCTTCCTTGTCACGAAGTCCTGGCTGGTGGGAGGAATTCTTCCAGGAAAATCGGAATGACATTGAGTGGATGAGGCATTTCAGTGTTAACAAGGCAATGTTTGCTAACATTATGTAACAGGAATAACCCAGGGATAATATACAATTATCAGTGCTTAGTATCAAATCAAAATGCAAACCATCAATCCATGCATCTGTTTTTGCTTTGAGGGAAATGTTTGTGATCAAAGTCTGTTTGGCTTAGAAGTGCTTCTTGAAAAACTGGTTTTTTCAGTAGCTCTCCCATCCTCCAAACTGCTGTGGACTCTAAACAAATGTAAATGTTCAGCAATTGCCTATGAGGAAACCTGTTATCATATAAATTGGCCACCTAACATAGACCAAAGAGAAAGGGTTGAAACAGGGTATATTTACAGAAACAGTTCTACTTTAAGTAGTAGTATTGATTTCAAAATGAACCAGAAGAAAGACTTGCGGCAAAAGCACTTTTGGGAAGTGTGGGGTATGCTGGAGGTGGTCTGAGTTCCTTTCATTTATTAGCTTCATTGACCAGAGGTGAGGTGGTCTGAGTGCCGATCCCCCTAAAATAAATGCAGAACCAAGAAGAACCCCCTACACAAAGCAGAAGTGAAAATGGGAGGGAATGCAGAATGGAAGACTGAGATGTGCTCAGAAACCGAGGAAAAAGACAGGTACAGAAAGGGCCGTCGTGACATCAACTGGTCTTAACAGATGTCACACTATTCTTGTTTTCAGCCTGTCCCCCTAATAGACAAACACAACTGCCTCCAGTTGTAGTCTGCAATATATACTTTAGAGAAAACATGCCCTTCACGAATAGCTAATCGGAGCTCATTAGCATAACTCATTAGCATAACTTATTTGCATATGCCACGCCCCCTGACATCACCGGAAGTGACAGAAGGCCACACCCCCTGACATCACCGGAAGTGTGTCAGAAGGCCCGGCTACTTACCCTCCTGCTTCATCCTCATTCCCAAACGGAATGAGGATCGAAGCAGAGGGCGGGGTAAAGAAGGGGGCGGGGCTTCACCACGTGACCGCCCCGCCCCCTAGAGGTTCTCTTCCGGAGCTCCGTACCTGAGAGCTCCCCCCCGACTAGAGCCCTGTACTTTAGAGAAAACATGCCCTTCACGAATAGCTAATGTATTTGATACAGATCAAAAGAACAGATAAGGAGGGGAAATCTAGATAACGCTTCCAACTACATCAACCCTTTCTGAAATGCAAAGCCAAGTAAGTAATAGTGCAGTGTGGAGTAGTTGCCATCATTGGAAGAAGCAGGCACAGCTGCTGCGCTGCCTCTGGAACATAGAATGCTGAGATGCACAAAGATTGCATGGCCATTTAATCAAACGGAACTCTCTCTGGTTTCTTCACTATGACCTAATTCAACACACCAGGGCAGAACTGAAAGGAATGTAACATTGTGAGAACGTACCTCCTTGGGGATGGCAACTGAGCAATCATACATTAGGAAATGCAGAATTACAGTATTTACTCCAGACTACATGAGACAAAGCAACCTTGTTCTTCATAGTTTCTTATACAACTTAAATAACAATAACTTTATCAGATATGATGAGTGTCACACGGCATCCTTGGGTGGCTACCAGGATTCGGCCAACCAACTCCTGACAGCAGTAAGAAGTAGATTGTGCCCCCCCCCAAGAGATTGTCCCTCTCTGGACATCATACCTCCCTTGGTGGGCCATTTAGTTCCACCTCTTCCTTCAGGAGCAGAGAGCAAGCAGTAGTTACTTGTTGCCATTGCCCACCCACTTATGGCTGCGATCACTAAGAAACCTGCCACCCTGAGAAGGATGAGCAAGTGGCTTGTAAGCGAGCAGCAGCAGTTGTTGCTAGGGTTGGGCATGAACTGCAAAAATGCATCCTGCTCCCCACAGCTCAGTTGTTTCAGGCTTTAAAGGGACGACGGCACAAGGTGTTTTTCAGGCTGTTGTGCCATCCCTTTAAAGTTTAAAGGGACGGCACAAGACAGTCCAAAACAGCCGAGCAGCGAGGAGTTGTTTTCCAGGCCAGTCATGAACTTCTGTTCATGAACCATGAACAGGGCAAAATTTGTGACAAATTTTGCTTTGTGGTTTGGTTCATGCCCAACCCTAGTTGTTGCCATTCCCAGCGCAGTCCAAATCAGAAGTCAATGGGCTTAAAAAGATGTGACTCTGCTAAGAAATGCACCATCTATCACTCATCACTTTGGCAGTGATAAAGGCTGTAAAGGCTCTCTATGGGCAGCAGTAGCAGCCACACAAGGCCCACACCCTAAAGGGATTGGTTGCCATCCATAAGTGTGGCAAGAGTGTGGGTGAGTTAGCTGTAGCAATCACCACTAGTTTTCCTGAGCAGCAGGCAAGCGCCTGCCAAAACCTAAGGCTAGTCTTCTTTCAGCAGCATGATCCAGTTTGGCACTATCTCATGTGGCCTACAGGTCATATTCAGGATATATAAAGAAAAACAATCTGCCTGGGGAAATAGTGATAAGATTCTTGAAGAGATGTGTGAGGGATGCTATCTTGAAAGCGGCATCTGGAGCTCCTTTGAAAGTTGGAGATAATGCTATCAGAATCCTAAAAGACATTCCATTTGAAATAAGACAAAGGAGAAAGAAGTACAAAGATTTAATTCTTTTTCTCCAGAGAAACACAATTGGATACAGATGGCTAACACCAGAAGGCGTAATCTTCAAAATCAAGGAGAAAAAGGAAAAGATTGACTCTGTTCAGAAAGCACGGAAATTTTTGAGAGTCCAGATGGGAGAACCAGAGGAGGAAGAAAAAGAAGGGATGGACTCAGGGTCTTCCAGAGAGGACTCTCTATCAGAGAAAGGGGCAGCCGCCCCTAAAAGTCCTTATAAATTGCAGAAGAGACTGGGCAAGGGGAAATGAAGGCTGAAGGACTCTGAATTGTGCCTTTGAAAAACGTTTTTTTAAAAAAACTAGATGCTTAGGGGTCTTTCGGGTTAACAGTGATAGTTAAGATATGAAAAAGATAATACTATAGTTGAATCAGTTCATAATGGGATTAGCGTGATTGAGAGATAACGTGTGCCAAGATAACTAGATTATCTCCTCTCTTGGGCTTTTAGATAGTAGTGGGTATCTTTTCTTTATCCCTTAATGTAGTCCCCTTCCCTATTTCT